GTGCTGGGATTACAGGCGTGAGCCACCGCGCCTGGCCCCATATCCAGGTTTTAATGAGCCGATGTCATGTGGATGGAGACCTTATCTCAATGAAGAAGAAAAAAATCCCTAATCCACTTGCTTAGTTCAGTTTTCCCATGCAGATAAATTTACCAGTTTGCTACCTTAGCCTTTTTTTCTGGTGGGATGAATTGCTGAGATAGCCCGGCGCGATGGCGCAAGCCTGTAATCTCGGCATTTGGGAGGCCCAGGCGGTCGGATTACCTGAGGTTAGAAGTTCAAGACCAATCTGGGCAATATGGTGAAACCCAGTCTCTCATAAAAATACAAAATTACCTGGGCGTGGTGGCGCATGCATGTAATCCCAGCTATGTGGGAGGCTGAGAGTGGAGACTCGCTTGAACCCAGGGAGCAGAGGTCACAGTGAGTGGAGGTTGCAGTGAGCCGAGATCCGCCATTGCACTCCAGCCTGGGCAACAAGAGTGAAACTCTGTCTCACAGTAAAGAACACTAGAAATACTCTGAGAGTGGGTGTTACGTAGATGATGAAAATGCATCCGCAAATCCTTTATTAAACAAAGGTAGGTGTGGTGGTTCACACCTGTAATCCCAATATTTGGGAGGTGGGAGGATCACTTGAGCCACAGATTCCAGACTACGCTGGGCAACATGGAGAGAACCTGTGTCATAAAAAAAAAAAAAAAAAAAGCTACCACACCTACCAATTTATGTATGTTTAGTAGAGAGAGGGTTTCACCATGTTGTCCAGGCTGGTCTGGAACTCCTGACCTCAGGTGTACCCCAAGATGAGTGATACAAATTTTCTTCTCCTGCCGGGTACAGTGGCTGATGCCTGTAATCCCAGCACTTTGGGAGGCTGAGGCAGGTGGATCATGAGGTCAGGAGATGGAGACCATCCTGGCTAAGAGGACGTGGTGGCAGTTGCCTGTAGTCCCAGCTACCTGGGAGGCTGAGGCAGGAGGATCGCTTGAACCCTGTAGGTGAAGGTTGAAGTGAGCCGAGATTGCACCACTGTAGTCCAGCCTGGGTGACAGAAAGATACTTTGCCTCAAAAAAAAAAAACATTCTTTCCCATTAATCAGAACCTTCCAGAGCACAGTGTAGTGGTTACACTTGTAATCTAAGCTCTTTGGGAGGTCCAGGCAGAAGGATTGCCAGAGGTCAGGAGTTCAAGATCAGTCTGGGCAACAAAGCAAAACCTTCTCTACTAAAAATACAAAAAATGATCCAGGAGTGGTGACAAGCACCTGTAGTCCCACATACGCGAGAAGCTGAGGCACAAAAGTTGCTTGAAGCTGGGAGGCCAAGGTTGCAGTAAGCTGGTATTTTGCTACTGTACCTCAGTCTGGGTGATAGAGGAAGACTCCATCTCACCCAAAAAACAGGCTTGCAGAGGAGGCAGTGACAGTGACTTTTACTGCCTGTTCATCCACAGAGAGCAAATGAGCCCAGGACCTTGACCAGTAAGGAATTCTTACCCTTTTGCCAGTTTGTCAGGTTCCTGGATTCCCTCAACTGTGGCATCCAGAAGAGTGGAGCTTGCATCACTCAGCTCACTGTTTACAAACCATTTCTTTTCTTGGGTTTGAAGGTGAAAGCCACCCTGTTTTGCAAGACAACGCAGTGGGCTGTCATGGGAGGATTGAATTTTCATTTCCCGGTGGGGGATGGTGGCTCAAGCCTGTAATCCCAGCACTTTGGGAGACTGAGGCAGGTGGATCACTTGAAGTTAGGAGTTCAGACCAGCCTGACCAACATGATGAAACCCCATCTCTAGTAAAAATACAAAAAATTATCCAGGTGTGTGGCACACATCTGTAATCCCAGCTACTCAGGAGGCTGAGACAGGAGAATCACTTGAACCCAGGAGGCGGAGGTTGCACTGAGCCGAGATCACACTCCTGCACTCTAGCCTGTGACAAAGTGAGACTCTGTTGCAGGGTGGGGGAGGGAAAGCCGGGTGTGGTGATGCACGCCTGTAATCCCAGCTTCTCGGGAGGCTGAGGCGTGAGAATAGTGTAACTGCCCAAGGGGTTCACCTTGTCTGCTGCCTAGACGGAGCCAATTCATCAAGACAGGGGAATTGCAATAGAGAAGTTAATTCACACAGAGCCGGCTGTGCAGGAGACTTAAGTTTTATTGTTATTCAAATCGCAGAACATACCGGGAGCAGAGTTTTTAAGGATAACTTGGTAGGTGGGGGGAAGCCAGTGAGCCAGGAGTGCTGATTGGTCAGGGAAGAAACAGGGAGTAGAAGCTGTCTTCTTGTGCTGAGTCAGTTTCTGGGTGGGGGCCATAAGATCAGATGAGCCAGTTTATTAACCTAGATGGTGCCAACTGATTCATCAAGGGCAAGTTCTGCAAAATATATCAAGCACTGATCTTAGGAGCAGTTTAGGAAGGGTCAGAATCTTGTAGCTTCCAGCTGTATGAGTCCTAAACTATGCATAATTTCTAATCTTGTGGCTAATGTTAGTCCTACAAAGGCAATCTAGTCCCCAGGTGAGAAGGAGGTCTGCTTTGGGAAAAGGCTGTTACCATCTTTGTTTAAATTATAAACTATAAACTAAGTTTCTCCCAAAGTTAGTTCAACCTATGCCCAGGAATGAATAAGGACAGCTTGGAAGTTAGAAGCAAGATGGAGTTGGTTAACTTAGATTTCTTTCATTGTCTCAGTCATAATTTTGCAAAGGCTGTTTCAGTTGCTTGAACCCAGGAGGTAGAGGCTGCAGTGAGCCAGATGGTGCCACTGCACTCTAGCCTGGATGACAGAGCAAGATTCTGTCTCAAAAAAAAGAATGAGTATTTCCAATATTGCCCAGACAAAATTGTAATATACATATAACAAAGACCCAAACACCACCCGTTATTCCCCTCAGTATGTGAGTTTTAACCTGGCAAAGCAGACAAGAGGGTTTCCTCTGAGTGAGGCTGCTGAGCTTCTGCTAGTGATTCCTTCAGGATTCCACCCCCTCACCCACACACAGACGAGACAAGAACAGGCACAAGCCTTCACAAATCAGAATTCTGTAACCAGATTTAGGCCCAGTGTTGTGGCACATGCCTGTAATTACAGCACTTTGGGAGGCTGAGGTGGGGGGATCACTTGAGCCCGGGAATTCAAAATCAGCCTGGACAACATAGTGATACCTCATCTCTATTTAAAAAAATAAATAAATAAAAATAAAACCATATTTGGCCAGCATGGTGGCTCACACCTATAATCCCAGAACTTTGGGAGCCTGAGGCAGGAGGAGTGTTTGAGGCCAGGAGTTGAAGATCAGTCAGCCTGGGCAACATAGCAAGCTCCCACTTCTAAAAAAAATTTAAATAAAATAAGTAAATACAACCAGATTGCTTTTTTTTTTTTTTTTTTTTTTTTTTGAGATGGAATCTCACTCTGTCACCCAGGCTGGAGTGCAGTGGTATGATCTCGGCTCACTGCAACCTCCACTTCCTGGGTTCAAGCAATTATCCTATCTCAGCCTCCTGAGTACTTAGGACTACAGGTGCCCACTACCATGCCCAGCTAATTTTTTTGGATTTTAGTAGAGATGGAGTTTCACTTTGGTCAGGCTGGTCTCCAACTCCTGACCTCAGGTGATCCGCCAGCCTTGGCCTACCAAAGTGTTGGGATTACAGGTGTGTCACTGTGCTTGGCTGCCTGGCTGATTTTTGTATTTTTTGTAGAGACAGCATTTTATCATGTTGCCCAGGCTGGTCTCAAACTCCTCACCTCAGATGATCCACCCACCTTGGCTTCTCAAAGTGTTGGGATTACAGGTGTGAGCCATCACACTCAACCAAAACCGGATTTCTGAATTGAGAACTGCAGGGTCCAGGAGTACTTCCCCTAAACAATGCCCTTTATTATCCTTCCATGGGAAAATTGCCTTAAACAGGGCCCTTTATATAGGTTCGGGAGGGTTAATAAGAACTTTGAAGACTTTACAGGGCCTCTGAGGAGGCTAAACAGATTAGGAGAAGGGAAAGGGAGTATGGATTATGCTTGGGAATAATTATCAGAGACATCTTCCAGAATCAGAAACCATTTCTCTGCTGCAAGCCATCTTATGCGCTTATGGTTGGCAATGCCCCTGTCTACAAGAGAGGTGCCAGAGATGGCCTGTGTCTTAAAGGAAGGCCTGTCTTGGGCTGCTGAAATGTTAGGGTGTTCCAGGACAGAATGAGGTCAGGCAGCTTGTTCTTATGGTCCAATAATGAGATGCAGACTGGGAAAGAAGGGAATTTATTGGCCAGGCACAGTGGCTCACACCTGTAATTCCAGCATTTTGGGAGGCTGAGGTGGGCAGATCACCTGATGTCAGGAGTTCAAGACCAGCCTGGCCAGCATGGTGAAACTCCATCTCTATGAAAAATACAAAAATTAGCAGGCATGGTCGTGGGCACCTGTAATCCCAACTACTGGGAAGGCTGAGGCAGGAGAATTGCTTGAACCTGGGAGGTGGAGATTGCAGTGAGCTGAGATCAGGTCACTGCATTCCAGCCTGGGCAACAGAGTGAGACTCTGTCTCAAAAAAA